ATATCCTTAAGTACAGATTTATGGACTGCTAATAATAGCACGTCCTACTGTGCTATTACTTTCTATTATATTGATAACAATTGGGATATTGTAAATAGGATTTTAGATATTATTTTGTTTCCTCACCCACACACTGGAGATAATATCTGCAAAATTGTTTTAGGAAAGCAATCAGCATTTCCTCTCCACCAATCTAATATATTTGTGATTTCGGGCGCGAGTGGTTCATTGAGGTATGTCGTTAATTGATTATTATCATTAGTGCAATTTGATGCTCCTTTTCTCAATATGGATAAATTTAAAATATCAAAGATTATGGATTTATAATATAACATTTAACAAATATACCTTTTTTTCAATCCCTGCAATATTGAAAGTTTTAGAATTCGAGATATTGTTATTAATATCAAAATTATACGCATCTGGCTCTGACGTATATTTTGCAAAGTTTATTTTAAATATATCTAAATATTTATCTGCAACGTCATCCTTTAGATTTGTAATCAGGGTATTTTTGATCCTAGGATCAAGTAACGACGCTGCGTAATTATATGGAGTGAATATATTATGACTATATTCTTCAGCTTTCTTTAACATAATAGTGGCTGTTTCTTTTATTGACAAATTTGAATATGCCACGGTATGATTTTTTAAATTCTCCAATATATCATTGAAGAATAAAGGGTCATCCCGATTGTGGGAGAATGATTGGATATTTCTACTGTTATTTGATAAAAGGGTAGAAGAAATTCTTCCAACTCTAGGAAGAACGAGTATTCATCAGGAGTTGGGGTAATATCCTCCCCTATTATACCTTGATCGCTCAGTTCATGAATTGAATCAATATTCTAGATAGATAAATATTAAGAAAAAGAATAAAATATACAATAATAATTATTACCTTATTAATGGCGGATATCATGAGGTACTTGCTGTTTTATCTGGTTTTAACAGCTAAAGGTATTAATGTAGCCCCACATATGGCTTTATAAGATTGCATAAATTTGAGTGAGCTATGTAATTTATTAACTATATTTTCTATTTTTCCTAAATTAATGATGTGGGCCATGCAGCAATGCCCATATAAAATTTTCGAGTAATGGGTTTGATAATACTCTTGCAGAGTTGTACTGCCTTGATCTCATTTGATCCGTTATCGTGTGTTATTGATATTATTTTATCACTTAATTTAAAATCTTCTAATGATGATAAAACAATTTTGCAGATATTATCTCCAGTGTGTGGATGAGGAAACAAAATAATATCTAAAATCCTATTTACAATATCCCAATTGTTATCAATATAATGGAAAGTAATAGCACAGTAGGACGTGCTATTATTAGCAGTCCATAAATCTGTACTTAAGGATATCATATTACTTTTATTAAATTATTTTTTGCAAAATTATAGACATCACCTAGGTTTTTTTTTATTGTTTGCCTACACCACAGCTTGATATTCTTATTTGTATAATAGAATATCCTCTTAAAAGCTGGGTTATCTATTATGTTAAAGGAACTATTAGTTTTTATTAAGAAAATTAAGATGAGTTTATTTATCATCAAATTTTCATGCGATAAAAGCTTTCTCATCCCCGGCATCGAGTCATAAATGGAACCCTGTGAGTGTGACATCTGTTTAAATAGGTTAGGATGCATTGATTTGAGATGTTTTTCTAATTTGCTAAGTATATAAAATAATTATTGTATATTTTATTCTTTTTCTTAATATTTATCTATCTAGAATATTGATTCAATTCATGAACTGAGCGATCAAGGTATAATAGGGGAGGATATTACCCCAACTTCTGATGAATACTCGTTCTTCCTAGAGTTGGAATAATTTTTTCTACCCTTTTATCAAATAACAGTAGAAATATCCACTCATTCTCCCACAATCGGGATGACCCTATTATTCTTCAATGATATATTGGAGAATTTAAAAAATCATACCGTGGCATATTCAAATTTGTCAATAAAAGAAGCAGCCACTATTATGTTAAAGAAAGCTGAAGAATATAGTCATAATATATTCACTCCATATAATTACGCAGCGTCGTTACTTGATCCAAGGATCAAAAATACCCTGATTACAAATCTAAAGGATGACGTTGCAGATAAATATTTAGATATATTTAAAATAAACTTTGCAAAATATACGTCAGAGCCAGATGCGTATAATTTTGATATTAATAACAATATCTCGAATTCTAAAACTATTTCAATATTGCAGGGATTGAAAAAAAGGTATATTTGTTAAATGTTCTATTATAAATCCATAATCTTTGATATTTTAAATTTATCCATATTTAGAAAAGGAGCATCAAATGGCACTAATGATAATAATCAATTAACGACATACCTCAATGAACCACTCGCGCCCGAAATCACAAATATATTAGATTGGTGGAGAGGAATTGCTGATCGTTTTCCTAAAACAATTTTGCAGATATTATCTCTAGTGTGTGGGTGAGGAAACAAAATAATATCTAAAATCCTATTTACAATATCCCAATTGTTATCAATATAATGGAAAGTAATAGTACAGTAGGTTGTGCTATTATTAGCAGTCCATAAATCTCTACTTAAGGATATCATATTACTTTTATTTTTTAATTTATCAATTAAATAATTTTTTGCAAAATTATAGACATTACTTGGGTTATTTTTTGTTTGCCTACACCAGAGCTTGATATTCTTATTTGTATAATAGAATATCCTCTTAAAGGCTGGGTTATATGTTAAAGGAACTATTAGTTTTTATTAAGAAAATTAAGATGAGTTTATTTATCATCAAATTTTCATGCGATAAAAGCTTTCTCATCCCCGGCATCGAGTCATAAATGGAACCCTGTGAGTGTGACATCTGTTTAAATATGTTAGGATGCACCGATTTGAGATGTTTTTTCTAATTCACTAAATATATAAAATATAATTCATAAATTAGTACAGGAATTTTTAAAAAATATCTGTCAAACCATGCTCAGAACTAGCCTGAGCACTAATTAGTTAAAAAGCTAAATTTTTTCTTTCTCAAGCCGGCTCAGGATAGGTTTAAGCCGTTGGTTCAGGCCGGTTCAAGAAATATTTAAAACAAAAATTTAAAATTATTGTTACTTTGGGAAGTTAAAAATTTGTATACACTTGGGCATAAATTACATTTTTTGCGTGTCTTATTAGGAGTCATCGTAAATGAATTCCTAATGTCTATTGCTATGGATGATGACGATGAGGCTTCTTCAGAAAAAGAATCTACCAATTCTTGTCCTATAGTTGATTGAGACAAAAATGAGGATTCATTAATTGGAGAAGATGGCATAGATTGGTCATCATTATCTGACCAATAGAAAATGATCCTCAGAAAACATATTAAATATAAAAATTTTAAATTTATTTTATAAAATAAAAATGAAAAAAAAATCTATTTAGAATTAGAATATAATAATGTATATTCTTTATTTTTTAGTTAAAAATTGATTTACTTTTTGATATTTTTTAAAAATCACTAAAAAATAAAATGTTAAGCTATAAAAAATTATTTTCCCAGATGGAATTCAAAAAATAATAATATATTTATAATATTTATACTATAAATAACTTTATTTTACATCCGTTTTTTTATTTATAAATATTTATCCTTATTAAAAAATAAAAACTATATTTTCATTCCCCCTTCCATCTGTTTTTTTCCAAAAAATTATTATGGAAATAAATCATTTGATAATAAGTTATTTTAGTTTTATATTTTTGCTTATTTCACAAGTATAACTAAACAATATAAAAAAATTAAAAAACGTAAAATAGTTTTCACCATTTTTAAAAAATTATGCCAGTTCATTTAAATAACAATGTTTTTATGAAAACACCGCTAAACGCTTCTACTCAATTTGTAAGCAATTTTACTCATTATTTTCAAATAAAATGAAATTAAAATACATGTGAAACCGGGGCAAAATGAGTTAAGTGTTATAAGGGGGAAGGCCTATCTTTCAGCATAAGAGTTCTATATAGGCATAAATATCATATGAGATAATTCAAAATTGAGTGCAAAATCGTCACAATCCTATTTTTTAAAAAATATTATTCAATTAATATAATTATAAAAAAATGTTTCGAAATAAATTAGTCATTATTAGCAATTATCGCTATAATATCTTCGCGATAGTTGTTTCGCGATATTGTATTCGCGGTAATGTATTCGCTTTAAAGGTTTCGCTATAAAAAATTCGCGATATTTGTTTCGCTATATTGTATTCGCGGAATAGTATTTGCTATTATGGATTCGCGATAAAAGTTTCGCCATAAAATCCATTCGCGAAAAAGTGTTCCGCGATAAAAGTTTCGCTGAAATGTATTTACTGGCTATAACATATTATTTAAGAATTATATTATAAATATGAAATACTTGCAAAAGACCAATCTTATATATTTCTTCAATTTTTAGGTATATAAAAATTAATTATACACTAATTTAATTAGTATTATTAACATATACACATTTTGACCAATTTTGAGAGAAATCGGTCCAATAGATAAAAAGTTAAAGGGTGGAGGCCAGTCTTCAAACATGGCCATTTATGGCACATTTCCCCTAATGGTAGAACAAAATTTTGACATGATTTGTGTTCTCCTATGTATGCAGAGCCTAAATAATGATTTCACAAATTTACACAAAATTGATATATATAATATAGATTTACTTTTTATAAAATAATAATATTCTTTAAATAAAATTCTTTATTATTTATTTTAAAAATAATGGGTTTTTGTACCGGGTCTGAACCTCGGGTCTGTGCTCAGGGTTCGTGCTCAGAGCAGGCATGACCACAAAATTGGGTCGTAAATTGCCTTTTCCAGTGTATTTTAATAAAAAGAGGGAGTTTAAAAAAATGTACACACGATAAAGATAAAAAATAATCCTAGGGCAAAAATGTAAATAAATATAAAAACAATATTTAAGTAAGTAAATATTAACAAAAATATTTTTTTTATAAAACTAACTTGATTAATTGTGAGGATCCGTCTTCGACCGCTTTGCGGAACGCTTTGGATAAATCTCCCTCCGATCCGGTGTCGTCTAGCTATAATTTATTGTTTTTCAAAATAGTATATTTTTTTTTAAAACTCTATGAAATTAGATTCGTGCTAACCTAATACTGAAAATATTTAGATAAAATATAAAGAATTTTACATTTAAGCCTAGGACTGAGGTATTTGTACACCAATCTGATGTGATTAGGGGTTTTCTCTAAAACTAAAAAAAAATTCTTAATATCATCATTTTAAAATTCGTTTAAATCATCTGTTACGTTTAACTAAAAAAGTATATTGAAGACCGGGAAGTAACAGAACAGGGACACATTATAAACACCTTGCTTTTTTTATATAAGAAGCTTTCAAAAATTTTAAATTTGAAATAAAAAAAATGATAAATATATTCAGCATATGAGAAAAGCCTTATTATTTTGCCTTTTTCAATAAGAAACTCTTAAAAATTTGTAATTTGGAAAAAAATATATCACTTATAACAAGTTGGTTCCAAATATATTAAGTGTATGAGAAAAGCCTCTTGCCTTTTCATTAATAAGCTCTTATAAATTTTATGATTTGAAAATAAAAATAATATTTTTATAAAATGTTTAGGTATTATGTACCTCATTTTCTAAATAAGCCTTTTTATAAAATGTTTAGGATTGGTGGACCTAATAATAGAAAATGCGACGATTCCTCAACGATAAAATAAAATGTAAGTTTTAAAATATGAAGAATGTGTCTAGTTGTTTTTCCTCCATTTTAGCTATTATTCTTAACCATTTTTGACTATTGCGAGCCTAACGTTATTAATTTTTTTAAAATGTAATGTTAGTTTTTGGAATTGACTCAAAGGACGTGAGGTTCTTCCTAACACTTTTCTAAAAATAAACGGATGACTGGATGGATTTTAAAATTCGAGATATTTAAATTATGATTAATTCACCAACGTAACAATTCCTTAAATATGGTAAATCGCTAGGAACAAATGTAACCGTTACATGGTATTTCGCCTCAGCACGACAAAAAAAGAAAAATAATAAAAATTACCAAATTTATAATGACTTGTTTGCCGTAATGACTGATTTGACGAGACATATGTTTGGTGAACCCGGATAACTATTGCATACAAAATTGAATAAGTATATAGTATTTATAATTATTATAAAGAATTTTTTGGTCACGTGTTATCAAAAGAATATGAAAATATTTTTTAAAAAGTCACTGTTACTAAGTATATAGTATTTATAATTATTATATAGAATTTTTTGGTCACGTGTTATCAAAAGAATATGAAAATATTTTTTAAAAAGTCACTGTTACTAAAAAAAACTTAAATGCCATAATTTATTCAATTATATCAATCAAAATGAAACCTGGTCATGGCTCTCACTAATAACGGTCTGCGGCTTGTACTTCAAATTAGGAGTTTGGCTCCAAAATACGGGAACAGATCCCCTGGTCTAAAAAAATAAATAGAAAAGAATATATGTATACATGAATTCGTTTTATATTACATTTTTTCTTTCTTTTCTTTCTTAGCTTATAAGACGGTTCGTTTGTTGTTTTGTAATAATTAATGTAATAATATTTTGATTTACGGATTAACCCTGCATTCACAGTTAGCGCTAATTTGCGGCACAAGTATATAAAATATACTGTATTTTTCTACTCTTAGCCGCGAATTTGCGGTAACTGTGAATGCAGGGTGATTAAGGCAAAAATCAAAAATATTCTTGAATTTTTTTATTGATATTATTTGGGCCCTATTTTATTTGTACCAAAAATGTAATCATGTCTTAGGAATAATAATCACGTGAAAATGTTTTATATAGACTATTGAGTTAGATTTCATTTATGGGAATAAGGGCATCAAACTTATTTGGTTAGTGGACGAGTCTCAAAATAATATCTTAACATTTCATATTTTTAGTTTAAGACAAGAGTTTTCAACTTCCATCCAACACAACCTCCATTATCATGCGCGTAACATGCATAACGATACTAATAATCACGTGATTTGTATTCATTCGAACCTGTATGTAAGAAGCTATATTTTCGATCAAATGCGAAACAGGGTCTTCATTTCCGTCGCTAATAGGTGGCAATTTGGCAGTCACGATTTGTTCAGTTTCGATAAAATTGGCTGGGTGCCCTTCCTCATCGAGACCTCTCGTATAAAACCTAGTTTAAATTATGTTTGCCAAAAAAAAATGAATGGTCAAATTCTTAAATATCGAAGGAATAAAGTGAGCCTTTTTTTAAAAGAGGTGTGTGGATTCAACTTCAAACGATACTGATGCCGAGGCCAAGTATTTACAACTGATATAATTTCCAAATTATTTAAGTATGGCCCGACCCAAAATACCAATATTCAATAGAAATGAATATTTCTTTCCCTTTAATTTTTTGTTGTTGTTGGTTAAAACAGAAATACCTGACTCCAGCTCGATGAGCGCTCCTCCTAGATATCAACCCGAAGGTAATGTTGCATTTAACGGAATGCACCGAAAAAGCGACAGTGGTCTCTGTTAACGAAACGAAGCCTCGTATTACGGGCAATTTGTATCTGTTTAACTAGGAGAGTGACGAGTATATAACAAACACATCTTATAAAATATTTGATTTAGAAAGGAACTTGACCCTGCTTTCACAGATTAACTGTGAATGCAGGGTAAGGATGTACGATTTTAAAAAAAATATTAGATCGGATTAGCCAGATATACCATTTTTAAAAAAAATTATCAATATCGGTCGATATTCCTAAATTGGCTGATCTAATATATCAAAATGATTTATATATTTTTATAAAAATGGTAGTTCCTAAGCGCGGTTGAAAAAGGTTTGCGTCAGGCTGGTAGCGACAGTAAAAATCCTCATTGCCAAAATGACATATTTTCAAATAAGAAAGCTAGGGCGCCCCGGCGACTCGCAGTGCATTCATCCGATACATTTTTAGGGCTACCACCTGACTCACAAAAGGAGGGAAGTATACAGTGGGAAAATATAAAAAATTGTGGGGTTAGTTGGAATGTTGAAGGGTAAGCGTATCGAGTTTAGTCACAATAAAGAAGAGATGGTTTGATGTGGTATGTTCAAAGGAAACGAAATGGTCTGGAACTAAGGCGAAGGAGCTTAATGAAGAGTATAAGCTGTAATACAATGGAACAGTGGTAAAAAGGAATGGAGTAGGTATTATCTTGAATGAAAAGGCTGAAAGACAAACTGTTCAAAGTCAAGAGTTACTTGGATCGTCTAATCTGGGCCAAGCACTCCGCTGAGGGAGGTCCGCTTTACATCATACGCAGCAGCGCTCCGCAGATTGGATGCCAGGAGATGGAAATTTTCATAATAGACCTGAAGGCTGTTGTGCAAAAGATTCCGAAGATGGATAAGTTGTTACTGGGGGCTGATATCATGGGCAGTTTGAACGAAATCATGATAGAGATGGCTACGGGGTCACTAAGGAAAAAGAAAAACTAATGTAACTAGCCCAGGCGTATGACATGGAAGTGATCAACACCTTTTTCTAAAAAAGGATGAAACACTTGATAACATATAAAGGTGGGCCACATTGATGTCAAGTTAATTATCACCTGACTAGGAAGAGTGATCTTTGGAGGATAAAGGATCGTAAAGTTCTACCGTAGGATGAAATCGCAAGACAGCAAAGACCCGTAGTGTTGAATTATTGATAGTTTGGCTAGGTGAATTGACATTGCTCGTGTTAAAAGGATAAAAATAAATGGAAAGGAAAAAAGACACAAATGATAAGAAAACAAAAATTTAGACCTGTATCCTGTCTGAAAATAAATTTAAATTCTTAGCCAGTTAAAAAAAAATTTTTATTCGTGAATGTTTTTATAAAAATTGATCACATCGCTGGCTGAATTCAATAAATTACCTGAGCCGAGTATAGAAAAACTAAAAACATATAGGGCAAAGTTGGACTAGAAAATAAAAAAATATATTATTTACTAGCGAGGCTAGACCAGAAAATAATAAAAAAGAGATCATTTCTGAGCATGGCTGGGTCTAAAATTTTGAGCGCTACCAATAGCTGACATTTAAATATTAAGTAAATGATTAATAATCTGAACCAGAAAATTAAAAATATATAATTATGTTGGCCCTAAAATTTCGAGAGCTGAGGCTCCTCGATATTTCAAATTTTAAGCAAAATTGGGTAAATAATTTTTTTGCGTGGAGCAATTATAGAATAGTGTTGATTTGTGATGGAATGCCCCCTATAAATGAGAATAATTAAATATTGAAAAATGAATGCTAATAAAAAAAAAATTGATAAAATTGATTATGTAATGACGAACAAAAAATAATAGGTGATATATCAAATCATCTAACAAAAATTTGTCATTTTATAAATATAATACCTGAGGTTTATTGGCGAAATCCAGCATCAGGTAAAGGTTCCACACGAATCTTAATTCCGACTATATGCAAATTTTAATATTAAATAATAAATCAGATTTTTCTTCATTTTTTTAAAAAAAAGGTATAAAATCAGAGAATATACTACCAGTTTTCAAATTAATTGGTCAGAACAGTTCATTAGTTTGCTAGGTCGACATTAATTTGTCAACTATGCTACTCGAACTATAATCTGTTTATCACCCAACTTAAATTCCTACTAATGTCTCTATTTCGACAAATTACTTCTGTGAGCATGGATGAGATAATGTTTTAACAATCCTCAACTATTATTTTACCCTAAATTTTTAATGTCTATTTTAAATTTATGTTATAAAGCAGAGACCCTGCAAGTCTAGACCAAAGCCTAGTATAAAAAAAATTATATATAAACCCGAACGGTTTAAAAATTATTAACCCGGAAAGGATTAAAAATTATAAAACTCGGATAGTATATTTAAAAATTGCAACATATCATGATATATCACATTCATTCACTTCTTATATTTTCATTTCATGACCATTTATACCTCTCGTTAGATTTTTAAATAAGTTTATAAAAGAAAAGTTATTATTTTTTAGTCAAATCACACAATTTTAATTTGTCCTAATAAACTCTACTATACTTGCTGAATAAAATAATTATTAATTTGAGGAACTAATTTACAGTACTTATTATTAATTAAAATTTACATAAACTATAAAAAAGAAATGGTTACTAGTTATTTAAACAATTATAATGTAATAAACAAATCTAGCTGCAGTTGGCGCGAATTCGTGGTGAGGTATATAAAAATATAGCTTATTTTGTATACTTCGCGCGAACTCGCGCATTTATAAATGAGGGGTGAGATTACAGATAATTTTTTTATAGGGATTATTAAATGTTATATAAATTATAATTTACAATATAAAACCCATATCATTTTAATTTGTCCTTATTTACTTTACTGTATACGAGGTAAATAAAATAGTTATTAATTTAGACTAATTATTAAAATTTTTATATTCGGCCAATCAACCATCATATATATAGTACACAATAAAATGCATTTTCAAGCAAAAATCTTTATTTCTTATTTTAGAATAAAGAAGAAAATTTTAAAACTTATTAGATATTAAATATTTTCATATCATATGAAAAACGAACCGTAAAATACCGAATTAGTATTTTTTAAAACTCCGGCCGTGAAATTTATTTTTAAAAAAAATCGGGTGGGTCGACGTATATAAAACCCGTGCCGGACCGAAAAATAAATTTTTTTAAATAATCCGCTGGCACATTATTAAACGTGTGTTCTAGGAAGTAATCATTTTAAAACAATATTTATAAAATTTCTAGGTCAACTTTTAGCCGTTTCTTCTGTATGCCAATTTTTGGTAGACAGGCAAAATATTCGAAAATAATTATGTTATAATTAAGGCACATAAATGGCTATCACATATCTTTATAATTACTAATTATACAACACACATTTGGAATAGTAATTCATCGTTTCAAATGAGTGTTCTAATGTAGAGAGGTTCCGATTAATTACTCATTCCAAACTTTTACTTTATGAGAAAAAAATCACTGATTTGCTCCAAACAAAAATTATCCAAATGATGACTACGTGTTTCATATCTTATTATTATTACTAAAATGTTTTTCCTTTAGATTCTCCTGAATGAAGAGATCATTTAGATATTACATTGCCAAATAAATACATATTAAAATATATATAAACGAGGCATTTGAATTTTAAAAATAAAGCAGACGATTTTTTAATTATTATTTTACATTTCAAATATTAAATTTTAAAAAATCATTAATTTTAAATTGAACGAGAAATATACGCTTTTAATTAAAATTTTTGATTAATTTTTTGTTATGACAAAGTAATTAAGACACAGTATAGTAAAACTTTGTCCCTTCTTGACAAAAACAAGATATCTCTTTATAATTTATTCGTATGTAACTAATTAGTCCCAATATAATTTCATCATCTAATGTATATTTCATCTGCTAATTATTTACAAATAAGATTTCCACTTATAATTTTTTATCTGATTTTAGAATATATTGTTGTTTTTTTTAAAAAAAGAGAAAATACATATGCTTATTTAAAACCTTGCCATTTACATTTATATAGAAAAAACGGTATCGGTTTAACCTGGTGATCATCATCAAAATTGATAAGAAATTATTTTTAAAAATTAAATAAATTTTAATCCGCAAGTTGGCACGTTAGCATTTTTTTTTACTGACATATTCAATCGCTAAAGATTTTATACCATCTTTTCACTCCCAATTTTAATATATTTCCAAAAAAAATTTATCGATTCGCAATATTATTCTTTTCCAGATTAGTTGAAATATCTGCATTGGGCACTATTTTTCAAGCTCGACCTGGTTCAATTTTTTATTTTTTAAATGTGTCCGGCCTGGCGATCGTCTTTTTTCACAAAATTGAATATTATATTTAAAAGGTTAAAACCCAGCCTGATCCAAGTTGTTTTAAAATATTAACCGACCAAGCTCGAAGACCGTTCGGGCCGAGCCGGACTTTGCAGATATCAAGTTGAAATATTTAATATTCTTGTAAGAATGAATCACCTACTTAATTTACCTATAAATAAAATATTTCGATTTAAATAATATTTTTTTCTTAAAATTTTAAAATGAATATCAAGTGGTAAATCTCAATTCCAGAAGAGGCCTTAGATAAAAATTCTCGATTTTGGGGATCGTGTAATAATTTTTTTTTATTAATTATCAAATTTTAAATAATGTTGATGATGGAGCCAGACCAAGTCCATTCTATATTTTATATATAAATCAGAGACCTGCAGGCCCGAATTAAGCTCGGCCCGGGTACACAAACCGGGCCATATTTTAATTTTTTTAAATATGCCCGGATCGGGCTTAAAAAATTTAAATGCCCGGGTCAGGCCTCATATTTTAAAACCAAATTTTTTTAAATAGCCATTAGTTATAAAAATTTTTAAAAAAATCCGGGCTGGGCCTAAATATATATAACCCATGCCGGGTCGAAAAAAAATCCGAGCCGAGCACATGGTACCTCTGCAGATCTTTAATATAAATATAAAGAACAAGGTTTAAAATAAATATTATATTTTTTTTTAAAGTTTATATAATAGTCAAAAATTGGTTTTTCATAAGGGAGTTTGAAAAAAATAATATATAATTTTTCTTCCCTAAAATAATATCTACTCTATTTTAATGGAAGGAATTTATATGCTTTCGCAAATGACCTTTTAAATATTTTTTTATTCACCTCACCCCCTCTTGGCGTTAAAATTTAGGTTAGGAAACTCCAATAAATTTAAAAAGTATTATATTGCTTTTTTAAGGCATATACCCTGTCAAAAAGGCATTTATTTTGAAAATCAGGCACGGATGAATGCTGATGCAAAAATTGGGCGTTATGAGAAAGGTCGTGGGAAGTGGAGTAGTAATAGTAGCCAAGAGCCAACACATGATTCAACATGGATACGTATATTTTGTTGTCTTGTACCTATATTTCGAAATCCAAATAGAAAAAAATATGCTATTATGGATCTTTTTTATATTGTAATGTTTTATAGTATTCACATCTATCTTTTTAAATGTATCTTATACTCTTTTAACGAACCTAAATAATAATTTTTTTTTCAAATGTCCAAATAAAAAGAAAACACTTTTACTTTTTCATCAATAATAACATTCTCTCAATAATTACAATATTAATTAATAACTATAATTTCATTTTCCCTTCTAAAAATGGTTCGTGTCGATTTTTTTTTTAAAAATAGAACAAATTAAGATTTTAGTCAAATAATGTTATAAATATGCCTCGACATTTGGCAAATAGAAGTCAAAGTCTTTCTGCCACCTATGAGCAAAATTTCCAGGCTTACATAATATGGCTAAAATGATTCGAATCGCTCTTTTTAACAACCCTACTCTAATCTCTATGGTTTGAATGAAGCCACGATGCCTTTGATCACTTAGGCACTTATAATATACTTAAGTTAAATCTAGTGCTGTTAAACGGCTCGATTTAAAATATTAACCCAAAAATATTTGGCAGAAAGGTTTAGGCATCTATTAATAAAATATTGAGGCTTGCGTAATATTTATTACGCTTTACCGTTACATCTAGAAGAAGGTAACGAATGATGTTTCTTTTCTTCAAAAAAGGTAACGCCGTTAGAAAATATTCGTGTGTTAGACGTTTAAAAAAAATGTAGCCGTTTAACAACACTAGTTAAATCGTAGCGCTTTTTAAAAGCAGAATTTGGTTTACACAACAAAGGATGGGAGCATCAAAATTCTTTTATATTTTTGCTAAAATAAATTTAGATGCGGTTCCCTTTCCTTCGAGTCTAACCCTAGCCCATATCTGTTTTGACCATTTTTTTTGCCGAAATGAACCGGAATTTGTTTAATTCACGTGCACATACCGCAGCCTTAAAAATCAAAGGAGAGACTTGGTGTTCAAGCTATAGTTCTTTTTTTAAGAACATGTTCGGTTTGGGTTAAAGGAAATGGGCTTGAAGAATATTTAAAATCAATTATTCCTTAAGATAAAATAAAAATCTAGTTTAATTCCAGAGCGTTTATACAGAATTTCTCATTTCTTATTTAATGGGCTTTTAATTGATCAAATCAGCTGATTTTAATTTCTTAATATAAATCAAAACGATTTCTACATCCTGGTACATGTTCAAAACTGTTTTTTTCTGTTAGCTATATAAAACTTTTATGAAACCATCCTTTATAAAAAATTTTAGTTTAAGGCCGCATTTATAGTAAACGCGTTTTATTCAAGCGTTGTTCAAGCGTTGCATTATTTAGCATCGTTATTACAAAATAAAGACAATAAATAGGTAAAAATTTATAAATATGGAGTGTTATGATGATAAGGCTATGATAAAATTTATTTTGTGTTGGGTTGATAAAAAATATGCGATACGATTATAAAAATAATAGCAATTAGATATTAAGAAAAAATTATATGATTTTGCTTAAATATTATGTAAAATAATTGTCTATATTTTAGGTTAAGCTTAAAATTAGTAAAATGGTATCAGCTGTAATAACGTTGCGTTAAAAGCAAAGCTTAAAGAAAACGCGTTTATTATAAATGCAAGGTAAGATTTAAATATAAATCGAATAGAAGCTAATGAAATGAAAAGTAAAAATAATAATAAGCCTTGAGTGTGTTAGGGGGGTAATGAATATCTTCGCCGGAAAAAAATAGATCAAATATCTTCTTTTTTTTAAAAAAAATGAAAATTTAAACTTTTTGTTCCGTTAAATGAAAATAGCTTTTGCAGTAGGGTATAACCTCGAAGGTATTCGCCTTCCACACCATGTGCCCGTTTAATTGGCCCATATATACGCGAGACGTTATGACTATAAGATAATTGCCTGATTTAGTAATATAATAAAAATAAATTTATAAAATATGATTAAAAATATTGGTGGAAAGAAAGCGAAAAAGAAAAAAACGAGGAAAGATTATCATCTAACAATAAATTGTATAATGTAACAACATAAGAAATTTTAATCTTCTCTAAAACTAAAAAAAAATATGATGTACAGCTATTATTTAACCTATATATTTTTTTTAAATAAATAATTTAGCATAAATCGATAAAACTTTAATTTATGAAAAAAATTGAGGGAACAAAAAAAAGGAATATACAATATAATCAAAATAAAATGAATCAAAAAGATGTGCCTGACCTGCTAATAATTGAATCGTTCCGAGAATTCCGAAGATTTTTAGGGATCTTTCGCAGGAAGGAGGAAGATGCTTCGTACCTGTAAAAAAAATTAATAATTTTTTTAAAGATTATTATTTTTCTAATTCATCGTTTTCTTATGAGATACTTTGCAATTATAACCTATTTTGTCTGCCAAAATACTCCTTTTATTTGGTAAATGTTCAAAAAAATACCCACACTACTTTAAAAAAATTTGATTAAAATAAATGGCCAGCATATAAAATACGCCCAAATATTTTTAGTAGGGGTGTACCGATACCACTTTTTGGAGGCCGATCCGATATTAAATTGGTATTAAATTGATATCGGCAGATTATCGATCCGATATCATATCTAATTTTATATTCTGTAGATACCAATGGTTTTAATTTTTAATATACTTTTTATTAGTATAACATCTATAATTTTAGCATACCATAACATATGTCATTTAAATATATTATAATGATCAGTTGTAGTTTATATTCAATTCAATTGCAATTCTAAAAGTATATACAGTGCTGTGATGATTTAATGAAACATATTGACGATTAAATTAAAACCCATTCATATAAAATTATAATCTTTGCAAAAATCATTAAACACATTTAAAATTTATAAAAAAAAATTAAAATGTTTCTTTTCTTTAAAATTAATTTTTATCTATAAACTGAAAGACTTTCTGAATGAGTTAAAAAATATACAATTTCTTTTGGGTAAAACTTAAGATCAGATTATGTTAATTTTTAACTTATTTATTCATTGTTTATTTTATTTTCTATCAAATTTACCTTTCTTATATTAAAGTTTCGAAAATGACTTGTGAAATCTTTATTTAATGTATATTTTATTTACATAATAAAAGATCAAAAAATATTTATTTTTCTATTTGTATTGCACATAATATAACGTATAATTATATCTATATTATAAATAATCTAGTGTAATAATTTATTAAATTGATTGTTCAAAGGAATAGATCGGATTCCCTCTTCGATACATCGTATCGTATGTGAGTAGAAGGCTATGAAATTGAAATAATGAAATTAAGCAATAGGCTAGTAATTGCCTCAATTATATGAATTTTGTTATTGGGTTTGGGATATATAAAGCGATACTGATTTTTCAAAACGCCAAAAAAATTCTCAATGGGGCTTAATTGAATGAATAGGGTGGAAGATTTACTATACTTTGATAATTTTCTGTTATTATATGAGCTCGGTGAATGGGCGCATTATCCATTATTATTAGCGAATTCAACTGTAAAATGGATGATAATTCATCCAGGTAAGTTTTGAATTTTATTTATGTAAATGCCTCGTCTATAATCATGTATTTTTTGAGACCATTAATTCCTATGGTACACAAAACCGATACGTTAATTCCCCTTTGAAGGAGGGAGTTTGACGGATGGCCTCTTACCCAGAGGTGCCCATCCATAGTGGGAAATGACGTGGGAATTGAAGCCTGTTTCATCTAAATAGAATATATTTTGAAAGGCACGTTCATCAGTTTTAGGCAATATTCTTTACGAATATTTATAACATCTGGGGAATTCTGTCTATCGAGTTCTTTTCCAACCCTTTTCTTGCTCCACCCCATTGATTTAATGCATCTAGATATTCCCGAATCACTCATTTTGAGATGATGTGGTAAATTTTTCACTATATTTTTTATCGTCAATCCATTATTATGTTCTAGTTGCTATATAATTTTAGATTTTAATTCTGAATCATCCTTTTTGTTCCTTCCTCTTTGATGGATTATGTAATCGGACAAGGGGTCATCGTAGTATTCGGGGAATGTTATCCTTTTGAAACGGTATACCGAAGCAATGGATAAATTAAGATCTTGGGCCATTGTCTTTGCGCTTGCCTGTTCAAATTTAGGTTTACTAAGCCATTTTTTTGGCCATGACTATTTTTTCTTGACTCCAATTGCCATATTTCTTTTGTGGTTTATGATAGGTATCAGAGTTTGTTGTAGAACCAATTATTTCATTAGGTAAAGAAATATTTGTTATGTCAAATAAAGCTGAATGTGAAATATTTTGAGAATAAGTTGATTCTTCCTGTGAGGAAAAATCTAAATAACAATATGGCAGAATGTTTATTAATTAATTATTATTGTTAAAAAAATAAACATAAAAATGGATTTCGATTTTATTTATAAAAATAAATGATTTTAGATATAACCTATTTTTTTAATTTTATAACATTTTATTTTTGTAAACAACGCCATTTTTTATCGGACCGAAAAATTTTGGCCGATAACCGATATTTTAAAATGGGTAAAATATCGGCCAGATCCGATAAAAAATATCGTACATCCCTAATTTTTAAATATAAAACTAACCCTACCCTATTATATTTTTTTGAGTGACATCAAAAGATTGAGTCAGTTATTTTTCTTTACTAGACCTGTCAGTATATCTAATTGTCAGTTTGTGGGGATTTTTGAAGATAAAAAATTTTGATAGAAGCGGAATTACGCTGGACAAAATATTATCACATTTTATAAACGTTCGTGGGACGAATTTTTTTTCTTTTCAAATTTACAAACTTTATTTATAAATTTTTCATTTATAAATTCAGTTTGATATTTTATTTATGGGTTAAATATATATATAATTAACCCGTTAATGGTCAACGTGCATATATAAAATATGTTGAACTAGGATTTTTTTTTGAGTTGAAATAATTTAAGATAATTAGAGATGTACTGATATATTTTATCTTTTTAAAAATATCGGTTATCTGCCAATATTATTAAATTTCCCGATCCGATAAATGGCGTCTTAATTCTTAAAAATTTTTATTATGTTATTATATAAATAAGTGATTTATCAATAAAAATATTTAATATACTTTTAGATTTGTGAATATAAACTATAACTACTGATCATTATAATATATTTAAATGACTCATATGCAATAGATGTATTAATTAAAAGGATTAGCAGCATGTTTACAGAATATAAAATCAAATATGATATTGGATCGCATTTGTAATCGGCCAATATAATAAGGGATAGGCCTCTAAAAAGTGGTATCGTTACACCCCTAAAATACTTTTTATGGCTCATAGATTCTACTATTATAACTTAGAGGGGAAAAAAATATTTTTTGAGTGTGTTAGATTTCCAAATTTGACGTTTAGAATGTTACATATTCCAGGCTCCCCCATTGCTAGAGAATTTATTAATTTTTTCATGCAATCAATATAAGTATATTCCTTGTAGATGCCATAACCTATTCTATTCTATTTTGGTCCAACAAATATCTGGTCTCAGATTTATAAAACATAATTTTTGGTGTACCATATATGCAACGTTAAATTAAATAACATAAGTATATGAGATAAAAAAAAATGATGGTAATCTCTCATTGTTTTTAATGTCGCAGTGGCAAATTATTTTTAAAAAATAATAATGGGCCGGCATATGTAAATAAGGTAGTGGATGATCTTCACGACAAATTTATGGTCAACCAAGGGCAAAGATAGGAAAATGATCCAGAATCATTCCCCGCGATGCTAGTAGAGAATAGCAATATGAAGCGAACATTGTAAGCCTAGCTGTGCTACCTGAGGGGGTGAAAGAAATACCGAAGGAGGTGATGCAGGAACAGCTCGTCGACGCTCAAACAATTGTGACAACTGTTGCAGTATTCGACTGACATCGACGACATGAATTCTAACATATATAGAAAATCAAATAGGGTCCTAAGTGCTGAAAAGATTAAATAGTCTGGCACACTTGAATAAAAGATTAAATCGTTTAGAGGAAGAAATTGCAAATTACGTTGAAAAAATCACACAACTTCCTAAAGTAACATCTCGGCTCAAGGATTAGAAGGAGCCTCCTCTTCTCAAGATGGGAATAGATTCGCCCTAAACCCTCTCCTCTTTGGATGATAAACGTATGGCGACTATGTGGAAGGAAAAATGGACCAGTACAAAAGCTAAGTAAATTAAACAAGAGGAGACATCAAATTAAAACAAGCTAAAGGATATTTGACCATCTTTAAGAACAAAGTGGAAATGGAGCAACCAGAAAGAAGACAATGATCATGACGAATTGAAATCCTCCAGCAAAGATGTGAAAAAGATAAGGGCAAGTTGGATTCAGTAATAACCAAGCAAGTGAGTTGTCAATGTAAACAGTGGGAAAAATGGAATCTAAAAACAGATTTAAGGAGCAAGGACACTCAAGGGAACTCATAAGAGAGGAAGGAGATTCAAAGACATGATAACCCAAAGCTCTAGATTGAGTGATATGTTAAGGTATTGATAAACCTCAAAGGTCCTGGGTTCAAATCCTTGGCAAAGTATGATTAAGCAAAAATTCAAATCCTCATGATGTTAGATGGAGAGATTAAAGAAAATACCATGTATGTGGCTTCTTTAAATAATGCTATGACTACAAGCACTTTCCTTGTCTTTTCTAACATGATTTCCTAAGGGTGAATACACTTTCTAATTGTAGAGCATATGAATTCCAGATATCATCCATTTAATACTGAACGAAGGAATTTCAATAAGCAATATATATTCCTACCTATTTTATCTTTTATTTTAAAATAAACTTTAAATTTTTTTTAGGCATTTACTCAAAGGTCTTGTGTACATCAAAATAAGTTGAACTAATATTGGCAGAATCAGTCATAAGCTATCTGCAATTAAGGGCTGCTGTTCGTAATCTTCTTACAAATTCTGCATATGGCTTCTCTTTTAATCTTTTTATATTATCAAAAGTGAATCGTTCAGCTAGGGATAGCATCTTTGAAGTAAATATTTTAATCCAGATCTCTTTTAATTCTCTCAACAAAAATTTAACAAGATTCAGTGGGGCTACTGGTTCAAAAAGTTTGCTTAATATCTCTGTTCATGGGTGATATCAAAGCAGCTTGTATTGACTCTTCCCCCTTAAGACCTTGAAGAATTAAGAGGGAGTCAAATTGTTTTAGGGAGTTAATCACATTGGTACTGTTGAATAGGATCATATTTACACTAGTTATTTGATATTAAGTAAATCTAGGTTTTTCTGTTTAACACCTGTTAGCCAACAATTATTAAATATTATGGTTAATTTAAATTTTCAAATTGCATTTAATTTTATGAAACAAAATCATTATAATTTTTATTATTTCACTCAAAAGAAAGGTTAAAAACAAATCTTGAACAAAATTTTCTATTTATATATATTAATTTTACAATACTGGGTATAAAAAAAACAAGTTTATAAAATCAATCAATACAAATATCTTAAAGAGTATTAATAACGGCAGAAGATATTTGCCCCCGACGGGGTAAATAGTATTTTATTAATGATAAAATTATTATCCTCTGCCTAAACATGCGGAAAGGATATTTGCCCTGTACGCGCCAAAAATTCATTAATTTAAATCATAGCCATTTTGACCATTTAACAAGTAAAATAATGTTTTAATTTAATCTTATATATTTTTAGACAATGACACTAAGTCTTAATGCGAAATTCAATTCTATACACGATTTAAACGTTGCTATATCTATATATGAAAAAGAAAATTTTTTAACATAGTTATACATAAATCAGATTTATTAAAAGACACATATAGCAGTGATTTTATTGCTAAATATAAATATAGCCTAGTTTATTATTTATGTAAATATGGACTGAAAAAAAATCCCAGTCTAGAGGTATAAGAACTTCATCTAGTCTTCGCAAAGAATGTACTTTTATGTTCTCAGTCTTTCTTCAGTGTGATATACTTAATGAATATTCTTTAGATTAGCCTTCAAATAATATATTACCTGATGTAGTAAATCAACTCAGGGAAGATAATGGTGCTGTGGTTGAAATACTTGAAAAAGATAATGAATTAATGGGCATATACTTTCAAGATGCTAGCATGCTACATTATCTTAAATATTATCCTGAGGTGATATTCATTGATCAGAATTAATTATATATTCTTGGATTTTGACCTTATTGGCTTTAAAAGTGAAAGCCTGCTCAACAATTTGTTTTTTAACTGGAGACAACCTTCTTTGTTTGGGAAGCATCTTAAAATTATATGTTAGTTAAAATTTAAATATATATTTCTAACCTAGATCATGGTTTTTATGATCTTTTACAAATGTGACTATATCTAAAGAATATTCATTAAGTATATCACACTGAAGAAAGACTGAGAACATAAAAATACATTCTTTGCGAAGACTAGATGAAGTTCTTATACCTCTAGACTGGGATTTTTTTTTCAGTCCATATTTACATAAATAATAAACTCGGCTATATTATATTTAGCAATAAAATCACTGCTATATGTATCTTTTAATAAATCTGATTTGTGTATAACTATGTTAAAAAAAATTCCTCTTTCATATATAGATATAGCAATGTTTAAATCGTGTATAGAATTGAATTTCGCATTAAGACTTGGTGTCATTGTCTAAAAATAATTGTTTAAAAATATATAAGATTAAATTAAAACATTATTTTACTTGTTAAATGGTTAAAATGGCTACGATTTAAATTAATGAATTTTTGGCGTGTACGGGGCAAATATCCTTTGCGATTAATAACTCAATTTAATCTTGTCAAATATTTTTTTTGAGTAGCATCACATCAATGGTTTTAATAAAATGTGATAATGGGCATCCCCCTTTATAATAATAATTATAATCTTTAAAAATCACACAAATTGATTTCTAAAATATGGCAGGTCTTAACAATTTTTAAAATTTAAAAATTATAATATCATTTTAATTATATATTTTTTAGTGCAAAACTTCAAATCTTAATATTTAAAGAATTTATCTATCAAAAAAATATTATCATTATTAAAAATAAGCTGATTAATAAGAGATAAATAATTAACCTGGTTTCACATTTATTTCATTTGATATTCTGTCAATTATGAGTAATTCTGAATCATTTTCCAAGGGATCAATAAAAAATTCTTTATTAGTAATGTATCTAATAAATTAAGATTATTTTATAAATAAAAATTTAATGGTACAATATGTATTCCTGATAAACATTATGAGAAGGCATGTTTTCTGTAATTAGTCAATAGATTAAGAATTTTATATAAAATAATATGATAAACATGTACACGTATGCCAATCATACATCAGATGTCTTACAGAAGTGAATTATCATTCAGATATTAGTATCCCTAGAAATTATCCATAAATAAATGTTATTTAAATATTTATATTTTAATTTAGTGATCCCCTAGCTATATATTGTTGATTTTTAATTATTATTTTTACCTTTTGATATAGACTTTTTTTAAAAATAACACTTGATATAAAAAAAATATTTTTGATTTCCATTAATTAATTTTTTATAAAAATTTATTTATTCATATTATATGAATAATTGAGGAGAGTAACTAATTCCCTATATAATATTGATAGAATTTTATTCAATCACCTAGTGTTAAAAAACATGATTCAGGATTTCAGCAAAATTAATATTAAATAAGACTGAAGATTTTCTCAAAGATGGCAAAAAGATTTGGACCTCAGATTACCAAATCTCGAAGCTTACATTATTATTTTAGCTAGTATCTTAATCAAATTATATATAATTCATTTAAAAAAATTAAAATTTTATTTTCATCATCCAAATTCTAATAATAATCATTTATGATCAAAAGATGATTGTTATAATAAAATTTTATATTCCTAAAATAAATAATTTCTTCTTCCTAAAAATAAAAATTTCTTTAAATATAAAAATTCCGAGAAATTGATAAAAACAATCGATGTTCATATCAAATTTTAACAACACCTAGAAGAAGATTAATTTTCAATTAGTTTAAAATTTAGCAAATAAAAGAGTAAAAGAAAATATTTGAATATATATTACTATTATCTTGCAACTAAGGAAAATTTTATAAACTATAGGGTTAGTCATTAGAGATTTTTAAAAATTGCAAAATATTCTTTTTTCGCAAATAATTTTATAAAAATTAATTTAAGATAATATTGAAAATCATAAGTTGAGATCTTGATCAGATTAATAATTAATATGAAACTATAATTAATTATAATAGATTTATAATAAAAACTATTTTCTTAATTATTCAATGATAGATGAATAATAAACTTTACCTTTATTTGATGATAAATGAATCAGATATTTTCCTATCTTATGAGCTGTGATTTATAAATTTATATATTTTTACACAAAACTCATCTTGCAAAAATATAATTTTTATATTATAAATACAAATACAAATGAAAAAAAATTTAGTTGAAAAGATTTTTTATGAGGCACATAACTTAAAATTAATAACATGTACTTCAGGGTTGTCAGGTCAAAATTTCAAATTGCGGGTAAAATTTGGTATTATGCGAGAGAAATATGAAAATTGCGGGAGAAATATAAAAATTGCTAAAATAATTTTTTTTACGGGCCCGGGATTTTGAATTGACTTAATTATCCGCCTATTATTTTTTATAATTAGTTTATATAAATACAAAGTCGGTAACTATTTTTCAAAATAAAATAACATCTTGATTAATTAAAATTTATTAATTAAAAAAAAAACAATGATCTTTTATAAATAAAAAAGAATGTAAACAAGATAAAATTTTATAAAAATAAAACGATTTTAATTTTACAATTAAAAATATATTTTATGCGAATTTCCCGCAAAACGACCGCAATTGGAAATCTACCGGGTGTGTGTATAACATTATAGGGATATGCGCTTAATTATCATGTATCACGTTTAAATACATAATAAGGTACTCTAAAAATAAGAAATATTACAGATGCAACTACAGTTGCGGCAATTGTAATCACTTATCTTGTAGTACAATCACAGAGATACTTATCACCACAATGTTGGTAGAATCTTTTTCCCATAATATTTAACGAACTTTAATATAAATGACAACTATACTTGTAGAACAAAAATGAGCAAGGCTATCATCAATGTTTTAAGACCTAAATCCAGGAAGTCAATGACGACTTGAAAGATGGTCATACATATGCAATTCTAACAGATGCATCTAATAAGAGAAATATTAAAATATCTCCCTAGATCCTCCGCTATTTCAATAAAATTAAGGTCGTTTCAATAAAACTATTAAATTTTTTTCCCTCAAATAGTGAAAAATCTAAAGACATAGCTAACCATATAATGGTAAATATAGCAGATTCGAGATTATCAATAAATTGCATGTCAGTTTTCTGATCTGATAATGCCTCAGTGAATTTGGTAAAACCAGAGTGTATTTACAGAATTGAGTCAGCACAATGTTGGTTGCGATATGTTCCTATTACCCGCCATCGATAGAATTTTAAAATTTTATAAACCTTTAAAAAAATATTTCTTAAATAAAGATTATAAATGCTGTCCTAACATTTTGAAAATTTTTTTCAATAATGAATGGCGGAGGTATATTTAGGAATGATTTCACATGTAGGAAATCTACTACATGCTGTTAATTTGCAATCAGAAGAATCTTAATAAAGATTCACAAAATTATGCTGAAGATGTGCTCATCTTTACAATTAATAATTAACAATAAATTTTATAGAGCCATTGCTAAATCTTAATTATATTTTATTTGAGATTTAAATAATAGAACTAAATGTTTACCGTCGTTATTGAGATATTTATAAAATTCCTGGCATGACATATTATATATTTGTTTAATCATTAGCTCGGCCTCTAATGTTGTTAAAGCAATCCGATTTCTCTCCTTTTTCCAGGTAGTCCTCGTCAGTCTAAAAATGCGCTCGGATGAGGCATTAGAACGAGGTAAGGAGAAGACATACTCGCATATTTTTTCCAAGCATACGGATTTATCGTTATTACGAAAAAATTCTACCTATTTCTCATCTGCTTTTAGACCATCTAACTTTAAGTATTTGGGCGAATAATAAAAAATAGAGAGAATTACAATCTCCTCAGACAAGACATCAATGTCTTTCGGTATTTTTAATATATTTATTAAATTATAAAAACCATGAATTGATGGTTTCTGTTTCAAGGTCATAATATTTATACATTTGTAAATAGAGTTATTAAAATCAAATTTTGACTGTAAATATTCTAAAATTGTCTTAATAAAAATATCTGCTTCATTTAAAAATGTATTAATTAGAGTATAATTTGAACATTTTAATATAATATTTTTAACAATAGCGCCATAAAATTTATTATCAATTTTTAACTGTAGAGATGAACAGAGCTGTAGCGTGATTTTGTGAATCTTTTTTAGAATATTTTGTGCAACTGAATATTAACTGCATGAAGTAGATTTCCTACATGTGAAACGAATCCCAAATATGCTTCTGATTTTTCAAAATTTTAGTACAGCTTTTAAAATCTCTAATTAAGAAGTATTTTTTTAAGGGTTTGTAAAATTTAAAAATTCTATCGATGGCTGGTATTAATGACAACCACCTGATAGGCATATATCGCAACAACTCACACCATTCCAAGTCAGACCTCTTCACAAAATCTTTTAATTCAATAACTCTATTAGTTGATGAAGTAAATTCGTTAAAACATTTCATCACAATTATTTCGACATCCAAAGATAGTACATTCATTGCCTTCTTATAAGAATTATGTAGTATATGGCATATACAGCCAATTGATATTAATTTATTAGTGCTGCCTCAATAAGGTAACTTTAGATTTTGTCAAAATTTACAGAGGCATTACGTAGAAAGCTGATATGCAAATAATTGCTAACCCTGAATTAGCTATATTTACCATTATGTGGTAGCTATTTTGTTGATTTTTTTACTATCCGAGGAAAATTTTTTAACAGTTTTATTGAAATGTTCTTATTCTTGTTGAAATAGCGAAGGATCGATAGAAATGTTTTAATATTTCCCTTATTAAATACATCTGTTAGAATTGCATATGGATGCCTTTCAAATCGTCTATAATTGACCTCTAAGATTCAGGTAACACTTGTGATAGCCTTGCTCATTTTTGTTCTGCCACAAGTAATGCACTTATATTGGCGTCGTTAAATATCATGAGGAAAAGATTCGACCCTCATTGTGATGATATAGCTCTGTGAATGTTGAACTATAGGGTACATCTATTCGATTTCCGCAAATGTAGTTGCATCTGTATTATTTACTATTTTTGAGAATTATTTTGTATTACAATCGATGTTGATATACTCCCCTCCCCTGTACTGACTTATATGAATGAAAGATTTATTCTTGTATAAAAATAAAACAGGATAGAAATAAATTTACAAACTAAACATGTTTTTCGAATAAATATTAAAATTTATTTAGAAAATCAAAAATAATCAATTAATGTCTCTCAAAATTATTATATATATATTAAAAACATTAAAATACTATAAAAAAAAATTACGGGAGAAATTAAAAAATTGAGGTTGATTTTTCCGATTGCGGTAGTTTTGCGGGAGAGAGATGTCTGCTTGTAAACTAAAAAATTGCGGGAGTCTCCCGCTGATGGGGGGAGGCATGGCATAACATATTTTATAAAAAATAATAGAAAATTTTAGAATAACTCCTCATATAAATAAATATAAATTTCTGAATCACATCTCATAAGATAGGAAAATTTCCGATTCATTCATCATCAAATAAAGATAAAATTTATTATTCATCCATCATTGAATAAAGAATAAAATCTGATTCCCAGTCATTCTTGACTCTCTCTCAGCTAATAACTTATATTTTAGATAACGAGTTCTTGAAAAATCCCTAAAATATATGTAAAAGGCAAGGTCATAACAGACCAGTGGCATACTGGTGACGCTATGGTCTCGTGGGCATGTTTTTATACGGCCTCGTTTTAATTGGGGCTTCGCCCCCATATCCCTTATGGTTTCTTCGGATTACATAATTTTTATTACCTTTTATTTTTGAAAATAAGTTCAAGCGATTTACATTTTTAATAAAAATATAATAGTATGACATGATAATCATATATTTAAAAAAAATCCACATCTAAAATTATTCATTGCACATCTAAAAAATATTCATTGTACATATATATTTTATATTAGATTTACAACGATATTACACCATAAAATGAAATCATATATTACGTGTTATATATGGTTCAATATATAA